AGCCTGTTGCTGGAGCTGACCATTCCTCCCACAGTGATGTTTTGTCTGAATATTCCCTAATCCACCTCAGGCAAAATTGGCCACGTTTGATGAAATAGTTTTAATAACTGATAAAAGCAAGTCTGACTGATCGTTGACAGAAAAAGTTAGTTGGCAGACTCACAAATTACTCCATCACTAAACAGGAGGGAAACTGATGAAGAGCAGGGGGTGGTTATCCTCATGTGGTCCGGCTGGATCAAAAGAACATCTGTCCGTGTGGTTTGGTGCATGTTCTGTACCACCGAAAGGCTGGCTGCTGCAGAAACAAAAGCAATAAGCTAAATGATCTGTAGGCTTTTTTCCGCCCAAATTTTCCCATGATACTGTTACCTTTTAAGCGCATGCTGGGTTCCGATTACCTTCAGGATTCTCGTCTTGGAGTGCCGCTTCCCATTCCCACGCCAGAGGGGAATGAGGAGAAGGTGGTGCGCCCTTCTTGGTCAGAGCGGCAGGCAACTACCTGGAGTGGGGCCGAGGGGATCTGCATGTCAGGCTTGGACTGAAGTGAGGAAAAGTGTTTTTGCTTATGCTAGGTATGAGAATGCAATCTTAGCACGCTCGTACCAATATGGACAGGGCATCTAGGAGTTCAAAGAAGGACTCGGGGAGTGTGCATATGCAGTGATTAACAATGGATGATTACCCCAGATTCACTGAAGAAAGTAAAAGATGAAGTTCTTTATCTGAATTTTAGCATTGTAGGAATTTGATGGTATAACTTCTCCTTTTGCTACAAATCCATTAAAAGATTTTTCCTTACTTACCGTTAGCCTGAGCACTGCTGTGTCTGTTACTGATAGCCAAGCTGCTTCTAATAGTTCAGTTTTACATGTTATTACTAATATAGTAAAGCTGATTCAAAGAGGCACGTACTCAAATAAAGAGTTTGTCCAGCAGTCTAATATGATCAGAATGAAGGCTCTTTTTTTCCCTGTCCAGACTCTCGTCTCTTCAATATTCACAGAGATGATCGTATCATATACCCTGACTACAGTGCTGCAGCTCTCTCTAGTGTAAGATGTGTTGTATTTTGCAAAGGTTGTTGAGCTGCACCAATACTGAGCTGGGAAAAAAAGATGCCAAAACAGTTAGAAAAATAATGGATTTTATCTTTTTTTGCCTGAACAGAATAGAAATGCAGACCTGTGGGAGAAAAAGAATGTTCAACAGGTTTGGTAGAATACATAAATAGCTTTGTTAGAGGCAACCAGAAAAATTTGTTTGCAGTTCTACATAATACTTTCTTTCTTTTCCAGATTATTTAATTCCTTTCTGCTTTACTGTTTTTTTACTTTATTCTTTTACCTTTTAAAATTAGCTTAATATTTAAAAATATTTTCTTTAAACAAAAGCAAAAGGTCAAACGCTTTGCTTAAAAGCATCAAAACAGAATGTTTCAACGTGTCTGAAATAAAGGATCTGGTTTTGAAAACACTGAAATAAATATATGATGTCTTTTTTTTAGCAGCCAAAGCTACTGAGAAGTTTTGACCTAAATGCACAAATAGTTTTGATCCCCTTAGAAACATCATCTTCCAGCAGATTTATTTACATCTCTGTTTCCTAGCTCTATTTTGGAAGTAAAGCTAAGAAATTATTTTAAGAGCAGGTAATTTCTTTTTAAGTTGATAATTATTAGTATCTTGTAGTTCATATACTAACTTCTGAAGAGGCAGTATTTTGATGCTGTCCGCAGGTGTGCATTTCAGAGACCATTTATTTTTATAAAGAAGTTGTAGGCTGTTGAGATAGATTAATCTTCCTGAGGATTTCAGCCGCTGTGGTGCTAAGTGATGGCCACATGGATAAACGCCAGAGCGGGATCAGTACACCACAGAACTGGCTGTTGGGGTGGAATTAAAGGAGAGGAAGTGCCACAAAAATGTTCTGTCACTATTCATTTGAACATGCAAGTGAATGTGCTTTGGTTGTGTTCGTAACGCCTTTATATTCTTTTCATGCCATCTTCCTTGTGCTTGAGGTTTACTGGTATGCAATGTGGATTTAAGATCAAATGCTCACAGACTATGAATTTTAAATTTGCGTAGACCTGAGAATTCAGACAAGATTAGGAGTTACACTTGCTTAAATGTGGGAATAACATTGAACCATAATTAAGTAGCATAACTAAAAATTTGTAATTCAGATAAAGCAGTTGTAGAATAAATGGCATTTGCCCCCCAAAATCATTTAAATTAATAAATAGATCTGAGAACATCGGGAGCTATTTCCACGAATGGGAACTGCTCCTGACTGTTCAGCCCTTGGCAAGAGCAGGAGAGTAAAATGGCAACATTTTCGTCGGTGCTCAGCAGCTGATGTTTTTCACTATCTGAGGCCAGTGAATCAGATTTATGGTACAACAGATGAACTGTTGAATCACATTTATGAAAAAGTAATAATAATGGTTACTGTTAATATGTCTGGCATTTTTTCTAGTCTTTCTGTTTAACTGGATTGTAAGTCCATGTTTTATATGCATAGCCTTATGCTGCACATGTTTTTGTTTAACAGGTTTGCCTGTTTGCCCAGAGCTGACTCGAGAGCACATTCCTAAAACCAGGGATGTGGGTCACTTTTTGTCTGTTACTGGGACTGTCGTACGTACCAGTTTGGTGAAAGTTTTGGAGTTTGAGCGGAGTTACATCTGCAATAAGTGCAAGCATGTGTTTGTCGTCAAGGCTGACTTTGAACAGTACTACGCGTTCTGTCGTCCATCCGCCTGTCTTAATGAAGAAGGCTGCAACTCAACCAAGTTCACGTGTCTCTCTGGAACAACCTCTTCTCCTACCTGCTGCAGAGACTATCAAGAAATCAAAATTCAGGAACAGGTAAAAAAAAATAAGATGGAGAAAAAGGGGAGGGTATTAAGGTATAGACATCTCAAGTACAAAAAGAATTAATTTGCTAGAGAAGGCATTTGGGGGCTTAATTTCCTGCTGGAGTAAGGTAACTCCGCTAATTTTAGTGAAACTGTTCATGCTTACATCAGAATTAAGTTATTGATTAGACTTCCATTATTAGATAACTCCATTCCAGATCATACAAAACACCCGAGATCAGTGTATAGGTTAACTTTCCACGCTGAATCCTTGTAACACCAAGTTTGCGTTGTTTCTCTAAGGACTAAAGCTAGCCCAGTGGTGGCCAAGGCCAGCTGTAGCGGTGCTGTATGGTCAGTACGTGGTGTCTGCAAATGTCTGTTCCCTTCAGCCAATGCTGAATTCAACAATTATTGAATATGTGCTCCTCACAGAATTTGCATTCATTTTTCTGAAGGTAGCCCTGGGTGGAAGTACAGCTAAGCTGGAGGAGTAAGAAATAATCAGGCCTCCTTTTACGGTAGCACACAACTAAGACAAAACTGGCACAAGAAAATCTACACTGTATGAAAATTGAGAATAAGTAGGGTATATTGCAGGCAATGTTTCTGTGTTTATTTATATGTTCAGTGTCTTTTTCATAAATCTTTTCTAAGATCTCTTCAGTTGTTTCAGGGTTTTGATTTTATAAATTAAGAGTATAGTGGTGCCAATCTACGTGCAAGATATATGAAAACAGAAATGTATGAAATTCGAAATGAAGCTCTTTAAAGGTCAGAATAGCAAAAAAGTAAGGGAACAAAACTATTTCTAGGAAATAAGCCCTATGCTGCATGTTTATATTACGATGGTTTCTGACATATGGTTTCTAAAATATTTTTTTGTTTTACTGTGTGACACGCAGATCTCTGTGATGGCAAGGATTTTCAGCAGCCTGGGCTTATTAAACATAGTAAATATGTTTTAACACATTAAACCAGGAATGAATTTCACTCTTGTTTCCTACTGAGCTCTGCAAGTAACTGTGTATGTGCCACCAGTACTGACAAGTGATGTCAGTGACGGACTGCCTGTGGCCATTTAGATAATACACAAGGATGAATTAACCTTCCTAAGTACCAGAGAGTGAATAAATCTAGAATTCTAGCACGTATGACCTGTGCTGCAGAATGAAAAGGTACTTCTGATTGTTGTTCTTGTGCAGTGGATATTTTAAAAACTATTGCAAGCTTTAAGTGTAAATGGAAAGATTGCTGGTTGGAAATAGACTGTGACAAGATTGCATAGACTTTGCCCTGGAGAAAAGAAAAAGAATTACAGGAGTTACTGGCACATTTGTCAATAAACATTTGTCTGGTTGTGTGTGATTTGTTTTTTCCTGTTGTTGATTTAATCCTTGATACCTAGGTATAAACTTATATCTCAACATGTCAAATTATGGAGAAATAATACCAGAAATATATAGAGAATAATCTTTCAGTATATACTTCAGTGAAAGGTTATCTAACCCACGGACATGCTTCAGTACTCAAAGTAAACTTTGCATATTGAAGAAGTATCTAAAAATATCTCAAATTATTTTAAAAAAAGAAAAAATCAGCTCTTTCAAATGACCCCTTTTAGGGAGCTTTCTTCAGCAAGATACTGAAATCACACAGCGCCTCCCAGGATTGAGCACCTTCAGCTCATTTAATACCCAATCCTGTTTCCACTAATATAAGCATTACAGTTCCATTATTAAGTTCATGGCAGCAGCGGCATGTTTACTGTGTAGTTCTGTGAGAAAAAGCAAGGACTGACCTCGATTCCAGGAAAGGAATGTAGGTCCTTAAGCCAGAGCAGCTATAAATGGCTTTTGAAAGGTGCTGTTCTTAAGAAGTGTTTTTCCTTCCTGTCTCCTAGGTTCAAAGACTGTCTGTTGGAAGCATCCCTCGTTGCATGGTGGTTGTTCTGGAAGATGACTTAGTGGACAGTTGCAAGTCTGGTGAGGACACAGCATATATCGCATATGTTTGTACCACAAGCATTTTTATTTTTCCATTTGAGATGAATCTTTGCCAAGTAGGCTGTCAGTGCTGAGGGCTCGTTGAATGAGATATGTTCATCTGTCACGTTGCTGTTTCAGCTTGGACGTTAGCATGGCAGTTGAAGACTATTCTAGAAAATGTTATACATCCCCACGTTACATCTTGACTGTTTGACAGATCAGTTTCGAAAAAGTAATGTGGTGTGATATACAGAAAGTATGTTAAACCTTGTTAGTGTGGGAACAGGAAATTGGTCCACACCATCACACAGCGTGTGGTGCCCCTCTGTAGGTTCTGAGAGCTAGGTAACCTGACCTCCTATCTAAGGAGTGCTGCAGGTGGGAAAAGCTACTTGGCATTCAAAAAGGAAGCTAATTGGCAGGAGGCTGTATGAAGAATGGACTAAAAATTCTCAGATAGGCACATCCCCACAAGAAATTCATTTCCGGTTGTACTTTCTCAGAAGAACACTGTGGCCAGAATGTTAATGAGTGATTCTGGAATTCATCACAAAAGTTACCAGGAGTCAAATAAGTTTTGACTAAATTTTTTGTGTAGTAAACCTAATTGAAAGAAGAGCTTCTACAGTTTACCATGAATTCCTCTTTTCTAAAAGAGGAAACAAGCAGAGGTATACCTTTAAGAGTTCGCCTACCTTAAACAGAAGTAGAAAGACATAGCAACTTCCTACCACAGACATAAGCAATCTACCTAATGTTTGTTTTAGACTTCCAGTAACTGCAGGAGGTTTGCTTTTTGTTGTTGGGTTTCTTTAACCTTATTAACTGTAACACGGAATCTCAATTACATTATTACGCATTACAGCTGACACATCTGCATATCTCAAGTCAGATGTTATTTTACTAATTTTTGTTGTTACCGCCAGGAGATGACATCACAGTGTATGGAGTGGTAATGCAGAGGTGGAAACCTTTCCATGAGGATGCACGCTGTAACTTGGAGCTTGTTTTGAAAGCAAACTATGTTAAAGTAAACAATGAGCAGCTAGCAGGGGTTGTAATTGATGAAGAAGTCCGCAAGGAATTTGAAGACTTCTGGGAAAAGCATAGGAATGATCCCTTAGCAGGTTAGTAGTTGAAAGCTTTTAAGTAGGACACATGTTCAGATATAGATGAAATCGGGAGTGAAAATACAGTGACTGAATACGTTTTTCCCCCATTATCCTATCCCACCACTCATTCCTCCAAAAATATTTTTTTTCCAGTACAGGAATGTGAAATTCTTACTTTAGTATTACTGGGAAAAAAGTACCAAACATACTGCATTGATCTTCCTTCTTTTGAGCTTTCTAGTCAAGTGTTTTGTGGAACATTTATTAACAAGAAATGAGAAATAATATAAGTATCAGGGAAAAAAAGAAAAGCATTTTATAATCAAGAAAGAAAAAGCATACCTCTTAGAACGAATAGTGCAGACCAGATCTGCTTTTAGTCAGCATAGCTGTTGACTCGGGGGTGAGAGATCTGACTCACTGTCTTTGCATCCCAAATTAAGCTGTGAATCTGCACCACAGAGCTTAGCACATCTCATCTTTAACCCAACTCTTGGGTGCCTGGACCCTTGATTTAGGTGCTGTGGAGCCTCCTATCAAATGTGGAGAGAGTCTCCCAATTCACAGTGGCTTCCAGAACAGCCAGAGTGTTTAGTATGCCTGCTCCTAAACTTACCATGGTCTGCAGTCAACCACCTAGGAATTAGCAGAAGTTGTGTCTGGAACTCTGTGCCTCTCCATAATCTGAGTGCCTCCTCCTGAATCACAGGGAAGCTCAATGGACTCTTTAGGATCTCTCTCACTGAACTGTCTCAGGCTAACACTCTGTCTTTTAAAACCCTGAAAAGGCCATAGTCTTTCTTCTTAAAAGACTAGCAGGAGGAAAAGCAGGTGGGACTGTTGCCCATGTTCAGCTTAAAAATTAGAGCACTCACATAAGAAATTGGAGATCTTGTCAATGGCAAAGATTCTTCAGAACTGCATTTCCTGGAAAGCAATTTAATTGCTAGCCTCCTGTTGTTTGGAACGAGAACATTTCTTCCTCCTGCTGTTTGGAAAGAGAATATTTCTTAACACCCTGGTTAGAACTGTTCAGAAAGTAATTCAGGATCCTCTTTGAAGGTCCCATTTAATCTTTCATTCTCAGGACAATTTTTGGAAGCCTGCAGGGAGCAATGTGGTTTTATGCAATATTACCCATTCAGAATAAATTAATTAGTATGAAGTGGCTACAAGAAAACTGAGGTGGAAATTAGAAGGACCCTGACACCCAAGGTGTCTGTTTTAGGCTGTTTGTCTGAATTTGGGTCCCCTCAGGTGAGGGCAAAGATCAAATTTGACTAAGGAGTCTAAGGTATAGGCCATTTCACAACAGTATGTATGTTCATTTACTGTTTTTCAAGAGACAATGGTAGTTACTACTGCATTTTATGGCAGTCAATTCCTGATGCTGTGTATTCGGTGAGAAAGTCTACCATGGCAGGCCTCTGAGAGAACTTATGCCAGTGACTTTTATTTTTTCTGGATACTTTCTAGGAAGAAGCAGAACTGCTGAGCTGCTCAGCACTGGCAAGGCAAATGAATCTGAAGTCAAATAGAGGCAACTGTGGAATTAAATCTTGAGTTATGCTATGGCTGACCAAAGTTTTTAAAATTTAATTTTTGGACAAAGATGTGTTAATTCCCTCAAAAGATCTCCACATGAACCACATATGCCTAAAGTCATCTATTAGGTGCCTACATATTTTGCCAGTACCATGTACTTGCATCTAAATTTAAAACATTAAGAACTCAAAATTGGTCACTCTGTTTTATGCCCTAGCAATGGGAGTAACGTATGGCATTAAACCTGTGACCCCTTACGTGCTGTTAGTATCAGAATCTCGAAGGACAGAATTAATTCTGTTACATACCTTCCAAGCCAACAACAACTTTATCATAGCAGATTGAAATATCCTATTGCTGGAAAGGGACTATGGCAGGGAGGAGGAGAGGGTCAAAGGAGACCTTTGACAGAGAAGGATCAAAGGAGAAGGAGATTCAAGACAACGATGAGAAAATGAGCCATGCTGTGGGTGCACAAGTTTAGGGCAAAATATTTCAAGTGTTAGCTGTTTTCTTAGTGTTCTTAAATGTACAACACACCAGTTTTCAAGGGGATATTTTGAAGCCTGGAAACTTCCAAGTTTTATTCTTCATAGCCCCTACACTTTAACCTGTGAAACAAAAGAATTTGCGTGATGGCCTTTCATTAGTGCCTTGTGTCATGTTATCCAGACCACACATTCCTTAAATTGCGATAGGATTGGCTTTGCTGCTTGTGACCGTGGAAGACTTAACATCTTTATAACGAAGGAAGTTTGGATCAAACAACTGCTTTGGGTCCCATTTAAAAAAAATAAAATAATAAAAATAAAATCTCCTCCCTGCCCTGCTCCTCTTGTTCAGGAGGCAGACCCAAATTATTTGTCAGTGTACACGGGACTTTATGTGTACATAGGAGTCCATGGGAAACCAAGTTTTACTCTTAGGGCTGAATGCCATTTTTTGCTCCTGTTCTAGGGAGGAATGAAATTTTGGCTAGCTTATGTCCTCAAATTTTTGGATTGTACCTGGTGAAGTTGGCTGTAGCCATGGTGCTTGCTGGTGGTGTACAGAGGACTGATGCTACTGGAACTCGAATCAGAGGTTAGTATTGTTTCTAATAGTGTCACATCCTTTCTAACAGTTGTTCCCATCCATGTCTTCACCCACATCCTTCCCCCCTTCAAAATCAAACCAGTAAGGTTTCAGAAGCATAATGATCCCATTTTCTTGAGCGAGAGCAATTTTTGATTAATGCTGAGTATTCTTCCAGAATCTCAGACAAATAAAGTGGGTGTCTAGACTTCCTCTTTTTATTTTACTTTTCCCCAAATAAAACCCAGTAAAAGCAGGCATTCAGGATTCCATTAGGTAGAATATTAAAGGCAGTTGTTTTAGATGAAACATAAACTCACTTTTTATTGTATAAGTGACGCTTTGAAATGATTTCTAGTAGAATATTCCCAGCAGTATTTGGCATCGAAGGATGGAATATTAATGTTTCCTTAATGTGGATCACTATAGTACATTGAAAGGAAAAATTAAAGGATTCATTTTACTTCCTAATGCCAGACTTTTCCATCTGTGATTGTCAGCACATCTCACTTAGTTCTGTTACTGTAAGTTATCTGCCTGCTGATTCTCCTTCTGTTGTTATTAGATGGCAAATATGCCATGTGCCAGGTGGTACACAGGTCATAATCTATGTAGGTCATAATAGTTCTAAAATATGTGTGTATATACAAATACAGGATTTTCTTAATGCTCTAGTGGCTAAATAAGGTTATAGACTTTATATTTGAATTGAAGTTGTATTAATGTTTTGTAGAAGACAATGAAATAATTTTAGAGCACTTCAGTGAGATTCTAGTAGCCAAATTATTTACTTCTGTAATTGCATTGTTTTGATATTACTAAATTGTGTAACTGTTGGCAATGTAACAGAATTAGTTAAGAAAAACAACCTGCTGATTTTATTAGTCCTTTTCACAATAATTTAAGTAACTGAATAGTGGAATGATAACTAAACCCTGGTATCCTTCTGTTTCATGTTCAAGAGTGAGTTGAGTCTGAGAAATGAGTAGTCTAAAATGTGAGAACTCGCATTATGGGAAGTATGTCAAATACCTGCTAATACTTTTAAAATATTTCATTGTAAATATTTGGTTTGGGTGCAGTGATATGACTGGATGCTTTTATTAAACAATATATTTGTCACACCCAATAAATAGTGCAGTCTTAAACAGAATTATGTATTGTAATGTACATGTAGTACTAAACATTATGTGAATAATGAAAAGTATTATTTAATTCAGAGCATTTTGTGTATATCTTTCTCTGTATATGAACCGTCTACTCCTACATCAATGTTTTCCCCCAAGGTGAATCGCATCTTTTGTTGGTTGGAGACCCAGGTACGGGGAAATCTCAGTTTCTCAAGTATGCGGTAAAGATTATACCACGGTCTGTGCTTACTGCAGGAATTGGATCTACAAGTGCAGGTATGTGCTTCTTCAGCTGGAACGCTTTACTTTTTTCGCTGGAGTATGTTTATATAGAGGCCTTCTACATATATGAACATATGTGCTCAGGTTGCATGAGCACATTTGAAGCAAAGAACTGCTGTGGAAGCATATGAGGCTTGATGTGACTTTCTGCAGAAGGGCAGTCCTGCCCCTTCAGAATCTGTATCAGTGGAGCAGTGTGATGAGCTTCTAACAGGGAAACTTACAAGCCTCATCCAGAGGCACCTCTCGCTGCTTTGCTAGCAGAGGATGATCTGGACCTGTATTTTTAGCGTTCTTCTCAGCTACGACAAATCTGACATCTTTCCAGAGCTCACGCTGTGTGACGGGCTAGCATCATTTGGTTTCTCCTGAACAGATACTCTCCTCTCTTCTGTTCTTTTATATGTTCTGGCTGGATGCCAGTTTGATTTCTGCTTACTTTCTGGAAATTCACCCCTGTGCTGAGGAATTATTTCTGACTCATAAAGATGGTTTCAAGATGGTTTCACAGAGCAAGCTTTTTTTTGTTTGTTTGTTAGATTTAGGTATGTCCCAGCTGGCTCTGAATGCCAGGTATCTTTACAAGTTCTTCTGGGGACAATGTGCAGGGTCAGATTACCTCTGCAAATGAATTTATTTGGGCAAATGACTGTATTACTAGTACATTAAAAATCACAAAATAATTAGGGAAAAACCCCAGTGTCTCAGCTAGCATGTGTAACTCGAATGTTTCTCAGATAGTGCTGCTTTTCATTTTATGTCTGGGAAACAGTATTATTTATACATGGGAAAACCAGAGAATAAATCTTTCCCAGTTCCGTAGCTCTGTGTACATGTGTATACTGGGTCTTCCGTAGCTGTGGAAGCGGAACGTGATGTTAAACATACACACTCTTGTGTACAGGGAACTTGTTATGAAACACATATGCCTCTGGTTTTCCGTTCAAACTGTTGACAAATAGGTCTGGAGAGAAGCCAGAGAGAACATTTTGGCTCAGCATAACCTTTTCTCCACCTTTTGTTCTGTGTTAGGAACTGAGAACAGGCTGGATAATTTAAATTTTGCTAGGGGACTGACAGTGACCTGGAGTGAAATTTTGCCATGCATTTCAATGTGACCTTGCCCACTTTTGTCAGTAGTAATCTCCCTGTGTCAGCTGCTTTTGGCCTCTAATGTTGCTCTTGCCTTCTTCACCACATCTCCCTCCTGTGCTTCGTTTTCCGTATGATCTGGTTTCCAGCTCAGCCGTGATAGCTAGGTTCAAAGACATTTCCCTGAAAACCAATATTGCAGTTTACAAGCTTACTGTGGTATGTGTGCCATAGAATCAGCTGTAATGATGTGTGGAGATGGAGTTTCATCTTGTGAAAGGATTGCCTTGAGTCTTTAGATCATCTACATTTCACTTAAATATTCCTTATATTTTAAAAAGCTTCTCCCTCTCCCTGCCCCCCTCCTCCTTCCTGAAATCTGACAGCAGGTGCACCAAATTTCCACCTTAAAATTCTTTAGGACCCTTATCACAAGTGAAACTTGAGCCCCTAGCAAGAAATCTTATTAACTCTAGTTTAATTTCAGGGAACCTTTCCATGGCTAGAACTGCTGGACTAAAGCATTAATTTCTAGCCCAGGAGTTTGGATGTAGTTTGAATTATTTTCTTTGCCTTCCCTGTGCAAGAAGTGTCTTACTTATGAACATGTTTATAACTGTACCTAACAATGATTTTGTCAACTTGCTCTTCGTCGAGAAGCTCCAAATTAGGAGTTTAGAGAACTATTGAATTATTTTACTTTCCGTGTCGTAATTGCACACTTCAAATTACCAGTTTCTACTTTCTCATGACCAGAGAGTCGTAATGCACGTTTTTCCCTCCAGTGTACAAAGACTAAATCTGTAAGTTCTACTTTCAACTAGTTCCTTACTTCATATAAAAAGTAGTGTGGATTGCAGTTTAATTGCTGGCTCTGGGATTACAGTCCACATAGGCCAAAAGACACACCTGAGATTTGGTAAACCCTGGAGAAGTGCTAAAAGCTGTCTTACATTTGGATTCCTCTTTTAGAGAAAACTGCCGCTATCTAACCAACCTTTGGTAAGATCTTGTGCGTTAACACATCTTGTACCCTTTACCCATCCGGCACTGTTTTAGGACATGAGCTATTTATCAACCTTAGAATTAGAATTCTGCTTCCAAAACTGTCTATCATACAAGTTTTCCCTGGTTCATTCTCCCCCCCTAGTCTCTCATCTGAGAATGACAGGGAGTCATTACATAGTTTTCCAGAAGAGACGAGACTTAGCGAGATTTAACAAATTCTCTCTGTTGATTCCCACCTTACCACTGAGTTTAACCAACAGTTTTGCAGTCCTCAGAGCCATAGTGCTGTTTGTGCATAATTGGATGAGATAATCACTAGTAAGAAAATATTTCATTTTCCCCTGGAGCTTGAGATCTGCAGCCATCGATTGAGTGGTGTGTTTGACTCCATAGGGACGGGAACCAAGATATGCCTGCTGCCGCTGCTGGGTCTGGAGCTCACGGATATCTGGGCCAGAGTCATTCAGCCACTTCCTGGTACATATTTGGCCGTTCAGATTTCTGCAAAGTTTTGTTTAGTGTTGTGTCCCTCCACAGATGGACCGCTTAAAGAATTTCGTGAACTCTATTTAGAACAGCTTGTCTAAAAATCTGGGAGACTTATCAGCTGTTTATCCAGCTCTCTAGTTCTGTACAATATGCCTTCCTGAGCTGTATAAAGTGCAGCCTTCTGGCCTCTCACAGCCTCTACAGATCCTTGAGAGTACTGCCTTTTTGCTGACATTTTGCAACATCTAACATTGTCCACATCATACCAACAGCTGTTTGCTACTATGTTTTTTTTCTTTTCATTGAAGGCAACTAACCTAAGGGGAAACAACCATTTTTCTTTTTCATAGTAAGCCTCTCCCTGCTAGGCAGACTTCAGGTGCTCACAGTTCTCTCTCTTCTGAGCCGTTAGAAACCAATTCAAAGTGGCTGACGTGAGCCATCCAGCTATGGTTATAGTGTGTGGTGTATAGTAAGTGGTCTCAGTATCCTGAGGCACGCAAGACACCGAAACCGGAGACATTTTTCGCTGTTTGTAGATCCCCAGACTGTCCCTGGGCACCCCCTAGTTGATACAGGCCAAGGCAGTGCCAGGGAACATGCTAACAGTTTACTACTGTGGATCCATACCCTGGCCCTGATCAGGTTATTAACAGAGATGCAGCCTTTAGGCCACTCTTTGGATCTTCACTTCTACCACAGGATTCTTCATTGTTTTCCTGAATATTCACAATTGTACATGAACTTGAAGTATTTTCTATCAGCATGTACCTTGACAATATTTTCCTGAGAGCATGACTTCATTGGCTGTTCCTTAAACAGTTGGGCCTCAAGTTGAAGAGGCCTTAACTCTGTAGGAAGTCTGCTAGACTTCTTGAAAGGAGTGAATTTTGAAGTTGTGATCAAACCTCATCAGACATATGCCACATCTGTAACAATGTCTCATCTCTTGCAGATCCTTAAATTCCCTTTTTCCTCTCAATAATGTTGCTCCAAGATGGCTTTGTCCCGAGACAGAGTTTACCTTGACTACCTGCATGCAAAAGATTATTTAGCCAAGTAGATACCTGTCTTCAGAAATTTTGGCCTGTTCATACATCTCTATCTGAAGACCTGTAGTTAGGATGGACAGGAAATACTGCAAGAGCAACATCTTTGTCATGTTGGCTGGAGGTTTCAGGTCTTACGCACTTCTGGCATAATACATCCAGGCAGGCCTTCATCAGACTTTTTTGTCCTGCTGTTGAAATGGCAGACATTTCAAGCAGTTGATTTTTGGATGGATATCCTATGTCTTCAGGATTCTCTTTACCATACCATAAAGACCCTGCTTCTTCCCAGTTTGTATCAGTGTAGGTCTGCCACACCTTTCTAGTGAGATAGATAGGACAAACTGGAGGACCCCCTTATGTTGAAAGGTAGGCCTCCTTATCTCGTGGTCCAGGGGTGTTTTAGAGGGACACCCAAGAACTCCTTAAAAGTTCCTGACATTTCAGCCAGTTCTTAACACTGCTGTTAACATGTTGTCTCTTACGTCTGGTATAGCCCTTTTGCAGCACACACACCTCCTTCCTCTGATTTTCTCTACCTGCAGGAAGGCCAGTCACATCCCTCGTGCCATGGACAATGAGTACCCAGCCATGCCTCCAACCCAGCATTACCGAAAGCTGGAAATGTTGAAGTGTATATCATCCCTCCATCCCCTCCTGAAAGGGCCTTTGCTTTCTAGATTCCAAATACAAACCTGGGTTTTGCCTTTAACAAAGCCTCCTTAGTGACTCCAGCTGGCTTTTCTTCCTTAGACAA